GTGTCATACCTACTAAATTCATATTAGAAAAATAGCAAAGCACTGCTTCCTAAGTCAGAATATCACAATATTATATGTGGTTGTAAGAAAACAATACGTCTATTAGCAAAAGTTATCTTTGGTCGCCCGCGTGGCGCAGTGGTTAGAGCGTCTGCTCAAGAGTCGCGGAGTAAGGAGTTGATCCTTACGTCGCGGGTTTGAATCCCACTGTGGGACGCGGAGACCGGTCCTTCGGATGAGACCGTATAAACCGAGGTCCCGTGTCGCAGTAGGTGCTGGCACGAAAAAGATCCCTCACTGCTCAATGGCCGTAAGTGCCGAATATAGGACAAAATTTGCAGCTCTCCACCGGCGAGTGGTGGCATCTCCATATGAGTGAAAAATTCTCGAGAGGGACGTTAAACAACATACAAAAAAAGAGTTATCTTTCTTATAAATATTTTTCATTAAAAAGAAATGTTATACTAATAAAATTTTATATTTGGTACTTGATAAATTTTTAAAATGATTCTTAAAAAGATAGAACTTATTCAATTTGTAAGGGTTTTGAAACTGGATTCAATTTTTTTTTTTTTTTTTTTTTTTTTTTTTTTTGGTCAAATAAAATAAAACAATTTGAAAAATATAGGTAAAAGAAATAGAAGGTAAAGTTTCAATCATATGTTAAGTTTGATCGAATTGACTACTCAAAGGTCTTGATATTTTAAGTCTGATTAAGTAAACTATGGGTATTCTTAATATTTTTTATTTGGAAAGTTATCTCTCTTATTAGATGGTCGGCCCCCATCATTTTTGTTACGTTGAATTTTACACCGTCAAAAGCTTGCGTCACATGTTCTAAACGTTCTCTGCCTATTTCAAATAGAAAGTTGGTTCCTGAAAAAAAACAATGTCACACTTTTTTGCTGAGACTCTCCTTATTTGAAGTCTTTGCTGCTGTCTTTGAGCTCATTCAGTATCTGTGATCTACTATTGCAGACCCTGTTCTTAAGGATCCCTGCAGAAAAGGACCAAATATTAAGACCTAGCGAATGCAGGGGTCAAACTCTTTCTCTGTGGTGATGCAGCATTGCGAATTTGTACGTTGATAACTTCATATCTTATTTCAAACTTCCATATATACTGAAAATGCTTATATTGCCTTCATGAAGTTTTGAAAACAGGAATCTGACATTTCTAAGGAGTTTGACCTATTTAGAGGCTCTGCTTCAACAAGGATATCCTGGTTCTTGAAGTCCCCAGTTTTCTGCATTTTTGCATAATTTCTCACATAATGGCCTTCTCTGTACTTTCAAAACTTTGCTAGCCATCTGGTAAGCTCCTTGAAAAGCTTTCTTTCTCTTGAAATATTTCCTTCCATTAACTTCTGAATGAATTTTGGCGATTTGTATTGATAAAACAGCTTTAAAATTCAGCAGTTTGTTGACAAGTTATATCCATTTATGAAAAAAAAATCCAAATTATGACATCGGCGTTTCTATCTCAATTAAAGTCAATTCTCTAATACGGAAAATACAAATATGCAATAAATCCAATTCATGTCTATAAATTTTATCTTATTTGGAATCTTAGGTCGTCAAAAATTAGGAGAGATAACACCTAAATTGCAGCGTAAAGGACTTTTGCGAGAAGCACTGACTTTTACAGTTGACGGCTAACTTTGACATTTAAACCTGCCTGATGTATGGAGGTACGGAATTGATAATAGATAAAGAAACATTAATATAGGTTATAGCTATGGTATCAGGGGCGCTAACATTATTTACCAACACAAGAGATGATTAGAGGTAGAATAAAATTACTTAAAATGACTTGCTCATTAGAGATAGTATCTATTTTTATTTTCATTTTCTAAAGGAGAATTAAATAAAAAAAAGAAAATACATTCTAGAAGGAAAACTTGGCAGAAGTTAGTCAAGGTGGGAAGGGAGGGGGTTGAGGGAAGGATTGTTGCCTGTCCCTTCCTAGACAACGTAATATGAGCTTTGAAATGGTCCATTGATATCGTTTTATTAACTGTTAAGCTAAATATTTATATCGCAAAAGAGCTTCCGTATATTTTTCTGGTGTAAAAGTAAGCCGTCGATTGTAAAAGTCAGCGCTTCTCGCAAAAGTCCAAAACAACATCAACAACAAAATATTACAACATGGTTCAAACACTCTCCTCAATAAATGACCATTTCATTACATCCTCTCTGACCACATTACAAAATCAAATCAAATTCAATCTTTTAAATAACAAACGGTTATCCGTATTAAGCAAGCGTATTTGGACTTTTTTTGAGAACGTTGTTGAAAATGTGAGTAGTAAAAACAAAATTTTTAATAAAGAGAGAGTCCATGTACCAAATTTTTGTAAGTGTAAAAATATACAAATTTCAATTGTTTTTCATTATTTGTTCACAAAAAATTGAGTGATTACCCACTCTATTAAAAACTGTAGTTTAAACAGGTTGGAGAGAATACTCAAAATCGGATATTATCCGTGAAATCGCGTATAGTCCCCGATATCGGGTTTCGAGTTCTGAGTCAATGTGCACATGACTCAATATACTCTCGGAGGCTAGTGCATTTCAAGTTCAAAACCCGCGTTCGTTTTGCTTTATATTTTGTATAATGTAAAAGGGAATTTTCAGCATCTTCACGTGAATACCCTACACTACAGAAATGCAAAATACCCAAATTCAGTGTGGGGTTTATAATAAGTGCATATGGATGCAACAAACATGAACTATTTGTAATAATTCCATTTAAACGGAAACACATTTCGCACAAAATAAAGTTATATATCAATAAGAAGCGACGCCAAAGGTTTGAATTTCGTATCTTACTATAAGTCTTTAATTGTTTTCATAATAATATTTGGCATTTAAACAAATTCATAACAAAATTTGTAAACTACTTCATGATGAAAATATTTCAAACTATAAGTAAAACCCAATATTTGTTACAAATAAATGTTCTTAAATTTATTTTGAAATAACATTTTAGTTTATTTTCTTGTCATTTTGAATACATTTCGTGTACATTGTATCATGTACGAACTTAGTCTTTTCAGTCAAAGTTTGTTTCTTGAAGTGATAAAAATGTGGTACACGCTGTTTTATATATCAAAATCATTAAATTTCCTTATTATTTAATATGTCTATGCAAAATGCAATGAAATCATTATTTAAAACATTCCCTATTTGTATTCAGTATTTGAGGTGGAAAATTGAAACATGAGAAGGCACACCAAAAGGTTTTCATGCCAAACAAAATGCGGGAAAAGGAGGGGGGTTGAAAACAAAAAAAAAATTTCTTGGCGTTTGAAGAGTGAAAAAAAAAGTTGACATGCCACAAAAAATAATAAAAAATAGATAAAATTAAATTCATTTGAAAATATATAAATAATAAATAAAAGAACTGGTCAAACTTGAAAAAAAAAACTTTTTTGTACTCCCATATTCCTAATAAAAATGGGAATAATAACGTGGGCCTTATCTATCGAACTGCAACAAAAGTGGGGAGTGGTTTTGGAATGAAATTGTCTATACTTAATTAACATCAAAAGATAATTCTTAGAAAAATAACTTGTGGGGGAAGGGAGATGAGCTTCGCCAAGGGTTATTCGTTTCCTTTAAGGAGGAATACATCTTGTATAAACTTTTCTTGATAAAAAATGATATATTAATAAATAACTGATGAGAAAAGGGGAAAAGATGAAACGTAATTACCACAGCTAAAAATTTTTAAGCCAATTTTAAAGATCTTTCATTCCATTCTTTTCCGACAAGGAAAAGTGTTGAGACAATTGGAGGGGGACCGTCCTTACAATTAGCATTTTAATACTGTGGTAAAGATGGTCAGAAGGGGTTTGGGGTGGGGGATCAGCCTAAATAGACCGCTCATGCAGCAAAGGATGAGAATGTGTATTTTTAAATCTTATATTACCTGTTTTCTCATACATAAAATTATTAATTTTTGCTTTTTCTGTTTTTACAGAAAGGATACCTTATTCAATGGAACCAAATATAGTGGACTATACACGGATAATACCCGATTTAAAGTATTTTCTCCAACCTGTCAAACATCCAATTTATGTTGGTTCAGTGTTAATTTAGCGTGTTTCCATTTTGGTGTGTTAATCATATTCATTATCATTCTACGCAATCACTGTATTAATGTATTATCAATATTGATTGCAAACATTTCATAATTAAAACAAATATCTGTGCTTATGCAGGCAAATACATCGGCTGTCCTTTCATCCAGATTCTTATTCTATGAAATAACATTTCTCGTCAATGTCTTACAAATTTTGGATTGCATCGTAGATAGCCCCTTCCGTCCCTTCTGGGGGAATAGTTGTACTACTAATAGTCATATAACCTTCTGTATCTGTCATACAGTATTTAGTGGCATGATCATTGCTGAAATATCAAAATGGGTATAGATAATTATTACAACATACATACACGTATACACATACATATGACTGAAAAATGATACATGTAACATGAATACGTACGTATACCAAACCTTTTCTGTAGATGATTCCAATTTCTTGGGGTGAGAACTGTAAAAATTAATTGACACATAAATATAGAGTATATTGCGATAAAATATAAGTCGCTAGTACCATGGTGCAAGTGACCAAACATATATTCTATTTTAAAGATTTTGGCCTTTTGGTTTCAAGAATTTAACACAATGTTTAATCATTCAAAATCAATCATTATTTTAGAAATGTTTCTACTGGTTGAAAATTTTAGAACAATATTTTGGATCTTAAATTGACAAGAAATATTTCATTCTCAAAGATAAGCATAATAGTTTGCAAGCAGAATAATAGAAATCTTTTTTTTTTTTAAAGTTACTCATTTTGTCCATTTCGAGTACCAACGACCGGCAGCTTGCGAAGTTTCTTTAATTTGTATGCAAATCCCATTGAGACAGCCAGTGATCCTACTGTTACAATAATTAGTACGACTATAACAACCACAGCCAGCTCATTAGCTTCACATTTTGTACTTATGTCTCAGATCTACACATATCTCCAAAGCCCCACATGGATTTGAATTACATTGTAAAACAGACCATTGTTTTGGAACTACTAAAATTGTAATGTCCCACGAATGCGTCGAATTCAAGGAATTTGATACAGAACACGTGTATGTTCCAGACTGAGCTTCCTGAAGATTTTGCAGAATAAGAAATTTTCCAGTTGAACGCTTTTCCTCAATAGTGTTGGAATAAAAAGATTGAAAGGTCCACTTGTAATCATCTTCAGTTGGTATAGGATTTCCATCTGCTAAACATGTCAAGTTCAACCTTGAAGTGGAAACTGGATAAAAATTCAACTCAGGAACTTTAGTTATGTTGAGAATCTTGGCTTCATCTAAAAAAATGAAAATTAGAATTTTGTATCTGGCCTGGTATACCATAGTAAAAAATGAAAAAAGAACATTTTCAATTATGCCTAAAAGTTTTTGGTTTTAATGTTCATGTACTTTGACCTCTTTTTTTCTGATTCGATAAACCCGGCAGTCAAAAATGCACAATCATCACGTTCAGCATACTTCAGAAAAGGTGAAACCTACTTTATTTCAGTGTTATTCAATTGTTTTTATCTATACTTCATTTCCATGAAATTTTCATTATAGTCATTAGCGTAAGTGGACCCTTTGGGTATGTGGATACATTTTAAAATAATGCTTAAAATGTTAAAGCAAATAAGAGTTATAAACCCGCTCGGCTCTCAATGTAAAGGAGGAAGCTAAAGTGTTAACATCAGAGATAGGGAAAATTCAAGGTCAACGACTTCGATTGGAAAAAAGGAGAAAACCGTGCCTTGGTCAGCAAATAAACTGCACAGCGCCATTTTCTTAGTATTGTTATAAATACTGCAGAGATTAACCATTGTTAAAATGAAACATGTTCGCCTTTAAGCAGAAGAACTTGTTTTCAATCTATAAAATGAAGCGTCGGTTTTAAGTCTAGAGTGTTAACATTGATGTATTTTTGCAGATTAAATTATTTTTTATCGCATCATTCTTGTAAACAATATTTAATCTTCACATAAAAATGGCTACCCTTTGCAAAATCTGTAAAGAAATCTGTAATGAAAGCAAGTGTATTGATAATAAAATATTCAAGTTCAATTTATGAAATGAGTTCATATTTAAAATAAATAGACACTAGTTTTCCAAATGTTATATCAATTTACACATAATTATGTTTTGTTGTTCAAGAGGCAGGAAGAATTGTAGGCTTTCTTTTTACATCTCCCTTTAGAAACGTCACGTGATACTGAAAAAAATACGCTGTTTCCTTCATAGATTTGTTACAAATTTCAAGATTTATATTAAAAAAACATATTATTTAATGAATGGCGACATACTCTTTGAAATTAATTATTTGCAAACATAAATATTTATTTGGTTAGAATAATTGGTCAGATTAATTTAAAAGATGTCAAAATATCAATTATGGAAACTAACCCCAGTTTTGGGGGGAAGTCGACAGTGTAAAAACCGTGACAGTGTTATTTGTTTGTTTGTTTTTTGTTTAACGTCCCTCTCGAGAATTTTTCACTCATATGGAGACATCACCACTTGCCGGTGGAGGGCTGCAAATTTCAGACCAATCCTCGGCACTCAGGAACATTAAGCAGTGAGGGATCTTTTTCGCTTCAGCACCTACTGCGACACGGGACCTCGATTTATACGGTTTCATCCGAAGGACCGGTCTCCACGTCCCGCAGTGGGATTCGAACCTGCGACCTAAGGATTAAACTCCTTACTCCGCAACTCTATAGCAAACGCTCTAACCACTTCTCCACGCGGGCGACTGACAGTGTTGTTTAAAAAGCAGTCTCAGGTTTAATCTATAGATATTCAATTTGAATTCTATCAGTATAATTCTTAGTTTTAAGTATAAAATTTTAAAATGAAATTTTAATCATGAAAACAATACATAAATTGGTTTTCTGTAACATAAATTTAAATTAATACCAAAATTTAAAAAAAAAAAAAGAAGTAAGGGTATATCTCTTTCTGTAAACATTTTCTTGATCTGGCATAGAGATTTAGGTTTTTTATGCAACTAAAATAATTTTTTGAATTTAAGAAACGGAAAACACTGTAGTATGACCAGAAAGAAAAAAGATTGTGTGCTAAAACAAAAAAATGGGACAGGAAATCTTTAAGTAAAGCTGTTCAGTTTGTTAAAACGGGAAAAATAACAATGTTTAAAGCTTCTAAGGTATTTGGAATTCCAAGAACAACCTGTCCAGGAGACTTTAAACGATGGATTTGGAGTCTCCAGCATCAAAACCAACGATTCTGTCTAAAGAGGAAGAAAACTCTTTTGTTAATCACATTTTAAAGATGGAAGGACACGGGTTTGGTTTGACAATATCAGATGTAAGCTTGCATACTCAATTACTGCGCACTCTGGAAGAAAAAAAAATCAAATTTAATGCAGATAAGAAAATGGCAGGTTATGACTAGTAGTAGGGATTTCGAGACCGGCACCCATCCTTATCTCTCCGTAAGCCTGAAGGTCTTAGTGCTGCTCCTGGTACTATGCTAAATCTAAATGTAATTTCAGACCATTTTACCAAGGTAGGGGATCTTATAGATAGACGTAATATAAAGTCAAAGCCCAAGCAAATATTTCATGCAGATGATGTTGCGAGACCCATGTTTTGCCACCAATGGCGATTTTCAAAGGAAAACGACTCAGTCAAGCTTAATGAGCAGTGCCCCAAAGAAGCACTGCATGCAGTAAAAGCTCATTTATTGTAGGAGAACTGTTTGGAATATGCTTTGAAAAGATTTTCTTGACCAACCTCTCACCTCAGAGACCAATGTTGCTGATAGAATATGGCCATGCCTCTCATGTTACACTTCATCTTTTGGAAGCAGCGAAGACCAATGATGTTGATATATTCTTGTTCCGCCTCACACAACGGATTGGACACAGCAAGTGGACAGAAGTGTTTTCGGGGCCTTACAGAAGGCATTCTACAAGCATTGCGAATCATTTTTGAAATTAAATCCTGGCAGACAAATATCCAGATATGACTTCTGCGGAATTTTTTCTCATGCATATAATAAGAAAATGAACATGGTACATGTAAATATCTTTGGTTTTAGAGTTACAGGCATTTTTCCCTTCAACCCTCTGGCTATTCCTGGAGAGGCATTTGGGCCATCAAGAACTTCTGTCTTAGCTTCGGTTACCACCACTACCGATAAGGGGGAAGTCGTATCAGCTGAGAACATTACAGTATTGATCAGCCAACCAAGGTTCCACAGAGCTCCTCATTAGTCTCAGAAGAAATTACAGAAGTATTTCAACTTCCAACAGTTGTCAAAGAACCTGCTCAAAGAAAAACTATGAAAGTGATTGGTGCAAGGTATGTAACAGAGAATGAATTCATCAATAAAATCAGGGAAAAAAGAGAAAAAAGACCAGAAGGAAAAAGAAATCGGAAACAAGAGCTTGAAGAAAAGAAACAAAAGAAAGAGATGGACAAAATTGAAGAAACATCTTGACCCTATAAATAAGTCAAAGAAGACTAAATCAACGTCAAAAGCCATTGCAAAGGAAAATGTCCCTTCTCACACTGTCAGCTGTGCAGTACAGGATGCTGATAATTGCTGCTCCTACTGCAGGGGATACTTTTATGATGACGATGAGGGCTGGATTAAGTGTAATAGATGTGATGACTGGTACCACGAATCTTGCACTGTAAAGTATGGTCCCCATTTAGAATATTTTGTATGTGAGAAGCACAGATAATTTTTTTATTTGGTGTTCCACTCCTCTTGTGTGTTGGAGAATGTGTTGTATCTTGTGTAAAATGCTTTATAAATTGGATGTTTTGAGTCATTGAATTATATAAATAAATTTTTTGCCGTTAAATTTAGAAAAAATACATACATTTCAGTATTTTTCATAAATGAAAATGGGTAAAGATGACAAACAGTAATGATCTCATAAAATTGATTGATTTCAATTTAAAAGAAAAATAAATTCATAAATTTGAACTTTTTTGTCAATAATTAAATATAAGAATGTGTAATTGAATATTCAAAGACAATTTGTACTGTTATATCATAATTTTCAACACAGACCATTTACCCAAAATCTATGGGTTAGTGAACACTTTTTAAAATTTAACTTCTAAGCCTATATTTTTCAAACCATTTGAATTAAGTTGAGAAATATTTTACACTACAAAGAGATAAGAGTGAACTATCAGTTTAGTATACTGCAAGAAAGATTAGTTCAGATTAGAAGTTTTCAGACTCCAATCAAACCCTTAATGTGTCCACTTACCCCAAGTACTCTGTACCCCTAATGATACAATAGTAATCTTTGTAGATTTTAATTATAATAATAAAAATAGATTATATACTAGTTTCCTTTGGGCACCAAATGTGATTTACTTTTTTAACCATTTTTTTTCTTTCTCATTTTTTTTAGACAATTGCCAAAGATATAGTGAAACTTACGGTTATGCTTGAACGTCACATATTAATTTTCAATATTCATTGAAAATTTTCAAAAAGATTAATACTAACAAAAAGAAGATGGGTGAACAAGGCGTGCAGAATGCCTATAGCTTCAGATATTAAAAAAATCACATTCAAGTTGTGAATTAAGTGTTTAAAGTGCTGCCCAATCCTATTCACTCTTACATCTGTGAATAACATATTGTTTAAATTAAATTAAGTGTTTAAAGTAAAGTTCTCATTATTGAAATTTAAGAAATTATGATCCACAAAACTTTTTTCTGGGGAAAAAGGATCTCGAGAAAAATATTCTTTTATTAAAAGAGAAAAATGGTATTCATGGCATTTGAACCCCTAACAATAAAAATCAAATTGCTTTGAGACTAACACGCTAACTACTACGCTACACAGCTCCTGATGAATAGTGGCATTTAAATCATATTTGTGATATGACCCTTGACCTAATGGACTTCAAGTATTTCTCGGAAAGATGCGAATGCTTTGTCATAAAAGTATACGTTTAAGGTATAGTGGGTCTTTGCTCCATGTTTTTGTAAAAGAAAAAAAATGTATATCTCTGTGCAAACTTTTAGGATTAACTTTCAAAAAATGGAGCGAAGACTCACTCATATCGAAAAATTTTGCTAAAGTCACAGGCACTTGGGGTATTATTAGAAAGTTTTATATTTTTGTATTGTGGTAAGTTGTATTTATCCACCATTGGGAAGGTTTTAGAGATAAATTTAACGAAAATTCATTTGGTAACAGATCTTGATTAAAGTTAAATAACATTAAAACTTTGAACGTTGATCATTTTACTTCGAAAGATGTAAGATCCTTTATGATTAGTATTTAGAAATCAAGATCGAAATACATCTATTTATCTTATTAATAAAATCTTTAGTACAAAATTATAAACAATGTTTTCGATTTTGGATGGTAATGTTTAGCTATATCAATTTGTCAAGCATCTTCTTTTTATAGCATCTGACTTAAATATCTCCATCCATTTCCAAGTAATGGAGAAACCACAGTCTGATCGGGAGGAAATGTTCCGGAATTGCGTCAAAAATTGGCTTGTATTCTTGATCTGTTAAATTATTCTTTATAAGTATACAATGCTTTTTATGAGAGATACTTCGTTTTTCACAACGAAAATACACTAAATACGGTATGCTGATATTTATTCGATAAAACCTTAGTGTATAAAGGTCCCGCGTTACTATAATTAAGTAGATAATTCCTTTGAAAATATTTAACATTTTGCAAATTGCAAGTTTTAAAAGAGGAATTAATATTGAGAAGGGGGAGGCTTGAATGTAGCAGCGGTCAATATAAATATATATCAAAACACTGAATTCATCAAGAAAATAAAAATTCTTAATTTAAACCTCATGAAGTATTCCATTTGTTTTTTTTAAGCTGAAATGATTTTGTTTCACCCTTTAGGCAGAGAAAGAGGCCCTGTTTGGCGACGTTTCATATTAAAGAAGCATGGAATTCTGACAATTTGAAATGCAGAATTTGTTATTTTATTTTTTTTTCTTTTAATCAAAAGCATATTTTGATATATGTATTTAGGCTGATCAAATGATGAACAGAAGATTTTCTTTTTACTTGTGATGGTTCTATTTTGATTTAATTTTCTTTTTGTTTTTTTTTTAAATCGTGTTTAATAGTTTTTTTTTCATTCCTTTCCATGTTTATCAACATCAGCCTTCGATTGAAAGTAGTAGAACATAGATGTAGCGTTAAACTTACAAAGAACGTTTATTTTCATTGTATCTCTTAACAATTCTGTGTCTTTCGGACCTTCATCTTTACTTATGTTGTTATGCGAGGTGCACCGAAAGAAAGCGCCATTATCTTCTTTTGTAACCGTGTGTGTTATATTAAAACTGATAACAAATTCACAGTTTCCGGTTTCATTGGGTATTTGATCAGATTCTTTTATAAGAGTAAAATCATTGTTAGTACGGAATCTCCACCATTTCACAATACCGGGTGGTTTTCCTACATCAGCGACACAGGCCAAGCCCAGGTCCTCGTTTTCTTGTAATTCAGTTGTCTGTATCAGTGGAATGTCCAGGGGTCGTTTTGATGACTCTGCAGAAAAGCAATGAATAATTAAGAGTATACAATTCTTCAATTGACGTTCTGCAAGTTTAAACAATCAAAGTTAAAAAAAAAATATTGTGTATCTTAATATAATGAAAAAATGATAGCTGCTTAGAAAAACCAATATTATATATATATATATATATATATATATATATATATATATATATATATATATATATATATATATATAAATGCATTTAAAGCTTTACTTTGTAGTGAAATTAATAATCCTTCGGAAACTGGGTCTTGTGGGCCTTCTTGATTGTATCCTATGCTGCATTCGTATGATGGCTCCTCATCCTCACATACCACTTCATTGATAATAATCAAAGCATGTTTGGAATTTTCGGTTGGTTTGATGAGCTCCGATCTGTTTCGAAGATACATTCCAGCTGAATAATAGATAGGATCTGGACCCCATGGTTTAGCAAAACCAACTAAATTGCCACCATCTTTTATTCTCCAAGTGATGGCATGACCATCGTTAATTTTTCCTTCTTTCTCTATGTATGTGCAGTTTAGAATCAGTGTTGCATTTTTATCTTCTATATCGGCAATAGTTTTACTTCCGTCCACGCTAACTTTGAATCCAAAGCTTGCTTTGAAAAAAAATTAATTATCTTCTATTTCTTAATTAATTTTAGTAGAAGCCTGTTGGCAATGGTTGCTCTTTAAATTAAATTTTAAAAAAATCTAATTCAAAAAAGAATATGTGGTTCTTGAACTTGAAATGTGAGTTTAAGCATTCATTAAATTAATGAAACAAAAAAAATATATATGTGAAATGGAGGAGAGGAGGATCCCCTTCAATTGTAGTCTTATTTCAATAATTTTTGAATATGTGCTCCTTCTTGAATGTATACTTTGCTGCATTCGTATGATGGCTGTTCATCTTCACCTTGCACTTTATTAATGATAAACAGAGCATGTTTGGAATTTTCGGTTGGTTTTATGGGTTCTGATCTGTTTTGAAGATACTCTTCATTTGCATTAGAAACCGAATCTGGACCCCCTGGTTTTGCAAAAACAGCTTAATTATCACCATGTTTTTTTTTCTCCAAGTGATGGCATGCTTCTTCTATGTATTAGCTTTAAAATTTTATCATGCATTATGGATTCTTTTCATTCGGTAGACTCCCTTTAGTCAATGGTTGCTTTCAATTGATTACAAATAAGAATGTCAATGTATAAACTGGACGGAATTTGATACTCTCTAAAATCTGCTTCTACACGATTTTATCTGATTTGATCATAAGGTCTTACCATGTCACCAGCAACATTCTAAGCTGTTTAGTATGTAAGTAAGTATGGAATTGTTTATTACAGTGACATTGTACACAGATGGCATTAAAGATGCAATATATATGAAATTTAACAACCTGCATCCACTCCGTTGGATCTATTAGTCACTTTATATAATTTGTGAATTTCTGAATCCGTGTGAATATTTTATGTTTACCTATGGACGATGAAAAATAACATTTCTGATATATAGACAGACAGACGACGGACAAAATGTGATCAGAAAAGCTTACTAGAGTCTTAGGCTCAGGTGGGCTAAAAAGAAGAAAATAAAGAATACCTTCTATTAGCTTGGAAATACTGAATATAATCAATATTACATCCATTTTAACATTAAAGATGTCCCACTCTGAATATATCTTCATCAAACCTTGACATACATCCAGGACTGATTATGCTTTCATACCTGTCCATCAAGTCATAAACGTATATTTCTCATGAAGAATTGCAGGTTAATTTAAGAAGTCTGTGGTATATATGACGTTGAAGACTATGAAACAATCGGATTTTAGGTCACTTTCTACTTACTTTAATTCTTTTAGCGCCATCTAATCGATTAAATCCCAAAATAAAGAGGGTTAATAGTAGTTATAAAAATATTTATTATAGAGCAAACTACATGTATGTTTAAACATTGTCTTAACTTCGGAGATATATAGTACAGATGACAAATTTATTATACATCATCTTTTTAGAATTACTTTTTGTCAACAATGAATAAATAAAAAATAAATAAATTCATTAATCAATCAATCAATCAAGAATAGACATACATCTATTAAAATAAATACCTAAATAAAGTAACTGGCAATTGAAGAAGAAAGGTAATAAATTTGAGATTTATCCCCCCCCCCCCAAAAAAAAAAAAAATTTAAAAATTAATTAATCAATTAATAATAATAAGAAAACTCAGTCATGACAAGGAGAAACATAATAAAGTATTTAATTCTTTTAATGTTTTAGCGAACAGTATATCAGTAGATAAAATGTTGTAAAACGAATGGGTATACTCAGTTAATAAAAATATTATTTAGTTATATCTTCTTCTTTTTTTTTCGAAAAAAAAAAACCCATCAAATTATAACCGCATTATAGCGACCATCTGCAAGTACATGTATAATTGAAAGATGACATGAAAAATGCAATTAAAAAATAAGTTGAATAGTTATGCGTACTTTCCTATTTTAAATCTCTGAACACTGGCGACACTGCACTCTGTGCTTCTCTTTAACTATATAACAAAATGCATGTCTACATCATAGAAGTACGACACATATTTTTATACCTGGTTTATTTTGGTATTTCAGTTTTAAAACAGGAGTCAAATAAATATGTCGTAAGCTTAAGCAACCGAACAAATCAATCTAATTTTAGTTGTAGCTGTAACGCAACCTTCCTGGTTCTTAAATTACTTTATTGGCCCTTGAGTTACAGATTTATTATTTTGTTAAAACTGCGTCTAAATCTTGAGATCTAAGATGATTAATACTGATTTTTTTTTCTTGTGGGAAGAGTTTTCAAAACAACTTCATAATATCCTTCAATCATGGAATTCTTGACATGCTAACTTCAAGTAGCAATGTCAACAACTTTTGATATTTTATCAATGCAAGATGGCTTAATATCAAAATTAATGAATCAAATTTATAAGTTAAAAAAAAAGAGCACCAATTATTTGAAACAAGGTGTCAATATTCTATAAAAATATATTACAGGGTTCTCCATGGGCAGTATAACGTGGCGCCCTAGTTCCGCCACAGTTAAATATTAGTGCCACAATAAGATCATCGTTGATCAAAAAGACAAATGTATAATATATATATATATATATATATATATATATATATATATATATATATATATATATATATATATATATATATATATATATATATATATATATATATATATATATATATATATATATATATGTTTATTCATAAGTACATATGTTCATAAAAGGTTAGTGTGTGTCTAGGAGGTTTCTTCACAGTACACATATATGTTGGAGACGTTCTTATTTTTGTTTTACATTATGTTCAATTGATATCCATTGGATGCTTTTAATTATCATTAAATTTATTTTTTAATTTGCCGACTAAATAATATCAATTCTGTATTAAACTATGTAGTGATTCTGAAGAGCTATTTTTGTTTCTTGATTTATCTATCGGTTTCTTCACAAATTCGGTTGCGAAATGACCGCGAATATTGCACTTCGCGAAAGTCTTGGGCCACAGTTAAATTTGAAATGATTGAGAACCCTGGTATAAACTAAGAGTAAAGCAAAATGGAGAAATAATCTAAAATTAATAAAAATAGATAAATGTAAAAGATGCAGTGGAATTGATTTTTGACAGAAATGATATATAATGAAATTAAAATGAATGATTTTATGTACGATTTAGCAAGTACTGAATGTATTCAATCTCACATTTTTATCACCGATAGGCTTCCGTAAGAAATCTGCATCCGTAGAAGTATTTTATCACTGATTTTCAGCGTTTTGCAGCTGTAAATATTGTAGTTTTAAGCATACTAACACTTAATAGACTATAAATATTTAGAGGATATGAAAATATTCTTGCACTTAATCTTTCACTCAAAGCAAACACGAGAATAGAAGGGAAACGAGTGAACATTCCCTAATACAGTAATGTTTTACTACTGAAAAGAGTTAATAAAAAGGTGTAATTACGCCTTTCCAAAAGGCGTTATTACGCCTTTCTAAAAGGTGTTAATACACATTTCCAAGAGGCGTTATTACGCCTTTCCAAAAGGCGTAATACTGCCTTATTTGAAAGGCGTTATCACGCCTTTTCAAAACCCGTTATTACGCCTTTCAAAAAGGCGTTATTATATACGCCTTTTATTTTCAATACATGACCAACTTAGCCCATCCCTTGGGCTGAAATCTTACCCTCGGGACATGAATTTCACAATTAAATAATGGGCTAATTTATAAAATAAAAATATTTAAACAAATTGTTAGTAGATTTCCAGGAAAAAGGATTTTTAAATGTGTAATATATTTGCAATGTTAAATTTGATGCCAGACACCTCTACCAAGGGTCATGGATTTTACAAATTTAGTTGAAGGCTAATTGCATATAGAAAATACTTTTAAATATTTGCATAAATAAAGATAGCTTTAATTCCATCTTTCATATATTTATTAATATAAAATAACGCTTGTCCATTTCTGGATATATCGCTTTTTCAAGCAAGCTGGTAGTACGAGTACGAGTGGGGGAGTGAGGGCTTCCCCACCCCACTTTTTGGGAGAATAGTCTTGTTATAGTTTAAATATGAAAATTCATTTATTAGCTGCTTGGTCTTTTAACAATGTGTTGCAGTAAAGTCAAACTCTGACAAATTATTGCATTTAAAAAAAGTTTTACCAAAAAGTTGGAAAAAGATCCCCCTCGAGTTTAGGCAATTTAGTTGTATTGGGGGGTGGGGTTTATTTCTTGTTTTTTGCTTGCTTGTCAATTTTTTAGGAGGCTGCCCCCCCCCCTCCTTCAAAAGTCAAAGGCATAATAATGGCTCTTCAATCGGCATAATAATGCATTTTAGAAAGGCGTAATAACGGTTTTTGAAAAGGCGTAATAACGCCTTTTGGAAAGGCGTAATAACGCCTTTTGAAAAGGCATAATAACGTCTTTTGGAAAGGCGTAATAAAGCCTTTTGAAAAGGCGTTATAACACCTTTTAGAATTTTTTTTCTTCATAGATTGATCCTAATAGTCTTTCGTACGTTTGAAACTCGGAAATTTACAAACCTTGTTATTGTTTATCTGCAAAAAAAATATTTTTAGAAAGATGCCTGAATACGTAAGCCCAATAGTGCAAACTAAAACCAAACAAAAACGAAATTATGAAACAAAAACGAAAATATTAAATAAAAAAAGAAGTTATTAAATGAAAAACGAAATTATTAAATAAAACATCGAAACTAAATTAAGAAACGAAACTATTACATGTAAATAAAAAAAAAATAATTATGAAATGAAAATTGGAATTAATAATTAAAAAAAACACGAAATAATTAAATTAAAAAAAAATAATTAAATAAAAAACCAAAACTAAACTCAAAACTATTAAATGAAAGAAGAAATTATTAACGGGTGTGGGAAATATACGTACCATTTACATCAAGAAAGAAGATGATATAGCTAAAGTGCACGCCGATCGAGAGTTTTTTTTTTTTATTCTTTTATTTATTTATTTATTTATTTATTATTTTTTAGCAGTATCATGTGATAAATGACCAGCTACAGCCATAAAGCTGAAGTTTGCACAGTTGCAAAACTTTAAAAAGTAATCAAATAAACAATTGATCGAGCAGTACCGGAAAGAGTAATCTTTCATGTTTTGAAGAATCATTTATTTGTTCTTGTAGTATTCCGAAATTAGAAATCTGTCTTTAATCTTTAACTTTTTAAAAAAAGTTTATCATGTTTTTAAGTTATTTTGAATATCATATAATGATTACTAAATTGTTGCACTATGTATGCTGAACTGTTATTTGAGTGCTGTTTGTAGTGTTTGTTGAATGTTATATGTGAAAAAAGATGCTAGTTCAATTTTAATAAACAAATTCAAGTCCCCTGTCCCCCTGGAACCTGAGGGGTTGGGCTTAAACCATCAAAATAAAAACAATCTTTAGAAATCCTTTTCTTTACTCCTGGACATCAAGAAGTAAAATTATGCATGGTTGTAATAAGCCTTTAGCCCTCTACCAAAGTTGTGAAATTCATGGCCCTAGGTTCAGAGGTTCTAGTGCTAGGGTGGGGCTCTGTTGAATACACAGTTAAAATTCAATATTTCTTTTAAAAAATCCATTCTCCTGTGTTGTTGGGTATTCAGCAAAACAAACTAAATGCATAGTTTTGATAAGCAAGGATGCCTCTTTCAAAATTGAGAATTTCACGGCCCCTGGGTCAGGGGTTGGGGTGTTAGGGCAGGGCTTTAGTGATTATAAAGTGAAAATGCATTAATTCCTTGAAAATCTTCTCCTCTGCTCATGTGTATTAAGCAAACAATCTAAATGCATAGTTATGATTGGCAAGGGTTCCTCTTCCAATTTTGTGAATTTCATGGCCCCTGGGTGAGGAGTTCTGGTGTTAGGGCAGGACTCCAATGATTATATAGTGAAAATACATTAATGCTTTGAAAATCTTCTCCTCTATCCCTGAGTATTAAGCAAACACAGTAAAGATGAACTAATATAAATGTAAATGTATAATTGTAAATAGATGTGCATCTTCTCTGCTCCTGGGTATCTAGGATGCAAACAGAGAACAAAAATCTAATAAGTGAAGTGAATGAGAGTTACTCCCCTTTGCTTAATTGTATTCATCAAGAAATCCTTGTATATAATTCAATTATAAGGCTATTTGATTGACTGAAAATACAAGAAAGAATGTTTTATATATATAGAAACAAAAATGAATGATTGGTTTAAATGAGTAAAGCATGCTCAAAAACGGATTCATACCTGTAAAGCAAAATAAAAGATTGACATAAGGCCATCATTAAAAATATCT